TCGTGAACAGGTAAGAATTTACGGTAGACTTAGGAAAATTTATGGTATTTTGTATCATAAATTTCAAAATATCCGGTATTTTTGTACCGGAAATTTCAAAATATATGGTATTTTCATTTACCATTTATACCGGAAATTTTGAAATTTTCGATACATCACAGAATACTAGAAATTTTGAAATTTCCAGTATACTAAAGAATACTGGAAATTTTGAAATTTCTGGTAGTTCATTTTTTTAAATACCGGAAACTTAGAAATTTTTGGTAGTTTATATTTTCCTAATATTTTCTTATTTTGCAATGAGGACCAGAGGCAGAGATGGTTCTATTGAAGGAAGGACCATTGATAGAGATGATGCTGAAGCCCGGGCTGATGAGGCGCAAGCTTTATAGCTACGGGTTAGACGACGTCCTCCGGGCGGTTCTCATCGGAAACAGATGGCTGAGCAGCAGGCGCATTTCTGTGCACCCCGTTGTCGGGGTGTTAGATTATCCACTACTGAGGAGGTACAGGCTCTTGTTCCTATTGTAGAGTCGGTAATTGAGGAGCACATTCTGGAGCCTGTGGTGCAGGAGGATGAGTATGAGGTTGTTGTTGAGCGATTTAATGAGGTGTCCCCCGTTGATACAGGCACCACGACACGTGCGTATACAGAGCCATCAATACACACTTATGGAGGTTTTCTTGGAGGATCTTCAGACAGGTCTGTGCTAACAGGATTTACGGACCATGTCGCTTATAGAATATGGCATGGAGAGGTATATATTTTTGGTTTTGTTTAATTGCATAATTTTTATTTTTGCTGATTTGATGTATAATAATTTGTTTTTGCTTCTTACAAGAGCGTCTGGTGTTGAAGGTCGCTTCTCATGGTTCGAAGTTGAAGAACTTCCCTGAGAGTCCCATGCCTGAGGACGTGAGGAGGATCGTTAGAGAGTTTAATCTCTTGGAGTTTTCTGATTGCTTCTTGACCATGTTGGATGCCTCCCTGTTATCATCTTTTGTTGAGAGGTGGCACCTGGAGATATCATTCTCCCATTTGGGGAGATGACAGTGACTTTAATGATGTGGACGCCCTCTTTCTTATTTCAATTATTGGTACATTTTTTACACCATTTTATAGGGACCAGGCGACGGCGGTGCGCATGGTTATGGATGATTTGGAGGTTTCTGAGACAGAGGTGTTATAGGAGTTTGATGAGACTCGGGAATTTCACCTTTAGATGTCTTGGCTGAGGAGGTTGTATGGGGAGATTGTGGAGGCACAAAGGTACAGGTTTCCGCTAGGATGTACATGCTACATCTGGTGGCATGTACTCTCTTTGCAGACAAGTCTAGAGCTTATATTGATGTTTGGTACTTATCTCTCTTCAGCGTACTTGACACTCCATGTTGGGCTTGGGGAGTAGCGGCCTTGATAATGTTGTACACGGCACTTGACGTTGCTTCTCGTCTTAAGACCAGGAAGCTTGCTGGTTACCTCAACGCTTTATAGGTATACTATAATTTATTTGATGGTTTTTATTAATTATTTGGGTGTATTTATTTTATGGTTTTTATTTATGCAATGTTGGATATACAAGCACTTCCTTCACATCTGTGAGTGGAGGATCTAGCATGTCCAGGCATCTGAGCCATGTGCAAGGAGATGGAAGGCCAAGCAAGCCATTCTAGGAGGTTTGATGGAGTACCGGAGGTGGCTTGACGCTCTGACCTTGGAGGATATCGCATGGACACCATATACATCTCATCACCCTCATCGTCCATTTGAGATATCTATTTTTTATTCAGGGCATATTATATGGGAGAGACATGTGGCTAGACACTTGCCTGAGTGGTGTCTACGACAGTATGGTTTGTACAGAGCATCCCTCGTCTAATTCTAGAGTCTCCAGCTGGTGGCATTGATAAATGGTTTCAGAGTCACATCCTCAGCTCCCCCCGTGAGATCATGAATATAGTCGTTGATGTTCAATAGCCTGGGCAGTGCGAGGATGGATACTTGGAGTGATTTCACAACATGTCATACCCTCGGGTGATACCATCGGCTGCATCATCTGATGTTCTAAGGCCTTCTGGTGCCAGGGTTTCTACTGAGCCACCACCAGCACCTCCACCACCTGCAGGAGATCAGGACAGCTGCTTCCAGTTTATTGTGGTTTATGCTGACAGCTTCATGGTTTGGTAAACCCAGATGGTGAGATCTATAGAGGTTTAGTTAGGTTAGCTGACGTAGCCCGTGGAGGGCCTATGTAGATCTATTATATTTTGGTTGTATTATATGTATATTTTGTGACACACAGACTTCTTATTTATTGTATAATATTTTGGCGATTACATGTTTCGAATCAATAATGAACATAACATAAAATAATACAATAAACATAACCCTAAAATAGCTAAGCGTGAAAACTTAGGCACTTCCGGATGACTCTGGACGTTTCAGTATCTTCATTATATCGTCGACAGATCTTCGGATCTACGCATCCAACTCGATCGAACCTTTAGTTATCCTACGGCGAAATAATTTCCATGTGATCTTCACATCTTCATCATTCTTCAACTCGATTAGGTTGTATTTCACCCTTTCATTTATATCAATCCAATCCTCCTGAAACTTTATCTTTGTCACCCTTATGTTATCGAAATCAGACAGTAAATTATTCAATGTTTCTTTCAAGGTGGCAAAGGATTCGGAGCCATCTGGAAGTTTGAATTCAATAGGAGGGTTGTTGTCGTTGTAATACACTTCTGCCTTAATCAGAAATTGAGGAAGAAATATTTTTTTAAGATGTATTTCTCTATAACACATGCCCCTATTTATACAAATGGTGATGCATTCTAGACCACACAAATGTGTCGGTGCAATCATAACCATTCAAATATGTCGGTAAAATTTCAACCGTTTAAAAAACCATATTTTTATAACTATCAAAAAATTTAGTTAATTTAAAATTTCCGATACACCAAAAATTTACACATATCTAAAATTTTATAGAAATGTACCAGAAATTTAGATGGTATTAAAAATTTGAATGTACCAAAAACTTCAATTCTTCTACTAAAAATTTTGTCCGAAAATAAAAAAAATTGAGGATGGTATATTTAATTTAGAAGGTTACTCGCTTATGTTTGGTAGGCTACCTATAACAATAAAAATAAAACAGTATAATAATATGCCAAAATATTAAAATTGAAGTGTAAAGACCTTATAATATCAATGTTATTAGACCCCTTCACCGGTTCACCCCTATCATAATAAATATATAAATAATATTATAGTACAAAATTAGTTTGACTTTATATAAATTCTTTTTAAACTTTATATTTAAGAGATTTTTTTTCAATACATCCTCTAATATAAAACACTTTTTTTTAGTATCTTTCCCATATACCCCCTCACACTCTTTTATCTCTAACCAATACGATACTTTAGCTATGAAATTGAAAGTTTTAATCTTCTACTACAACTCAGAATTGACCAATGAAACTCAATGAATTCATTTATCAATGTTGTACATACAAAAATTAAAAGAATACAAAGATGATGATCATAATATGTCCAAAAATCTGGTGAGATACTGAAATCAAAACAAAGAGAGATCTACTTGTGGTGCTTTATTTCCAAACAACTTCTTCAAATCATTTTCTAAAGGTGTCAAATTCAAGTCCAATTCCAAACACATAACCCTTTTGCTATTCGATCTTTTCAAAACAGGAGAAGATTTTGCTATCACTTGATAATTCATATAAGAGGGTGAAAATTCTTCATTGTTAATTCTATGTCTTCTCATGTGTCCACCTAAAGCTTGACCCGATTTGAATTCTTGTCCACAAATTGAACACTTATGCATTTTAGGTTGCTTATTTGTATGATCATACCCTTTGTGTGTTTCATCTCCTTCAAGTTTGAGTTTCTTGTGACTTGTCCTATGACCACCGAGTGCTTGAAAAGATGAGAATTTGCGATTGCAAGTTTTGCACTCAAACTCCATTTTAGAATATGTTTTGTTGTTTTGGTGTTGTTGGATACGATGAGAAGAGAGTAACATTAGACTTGTTGCTAAATCTATGCTCTCTTTTTCTACTTCATTTTCTCTTTGTCTCTTCATCATGAGAATGATTGTGAAAGTTTAATAATGTATGAAATGGTTTGGTCTTAATGAGAAACACTTGAAATAAAACACATCGTATATATAGAATTGAGAGTAAAGTCAAAAAAGGAAAACGTGGACAATGGGTTTTATTGGTCAACTTAGAAACTTAGCATGGTCTATTTAGTAACATTTAATAAGTTAGACTTTTTGACTTATAGTAAATGACACGAATACCGTCAATGCTTGCGTAATTGCTGAACATAAACAACCTCCATGATTGAGGCTTGAGCAATAAGCTGCTTGTTGAACAAGAACAATGCTCCATGAAACTTCCACCATTTAGGAATATTCTTTTACAGTTTCTACTAGTATAATAAACAAATAAATATTTATGATGAAAGGGCATAGCAACTTCTGATTAATAGTTAGCACATTCATGTGCATGTGGGTGGGGGAATTTTCAGACTATATTCAACACAAACAACTGCAAATCATACCAACTTTGTGTCCAAAAATAGGAATTTATCAAATGTGTGGTTTTTGTTTTCTAGTAGATGTTGAAAATGGAAAAATCTAACGTTTTACATTGTAGTTTCAGAAGTTGAAAATTACTATTAAAAAAAGGATTATAGAAAATAGAAGCAGAAGATATAGCACACATAAAAAATAAGAACTTATTATCAAATAGATTTTCTACACTAGTTCCGGCATTTGAAGTAGCTACAACTTTTCACTCTACATAGAGAGAAAGGAATATACAAATTACATGACAAGAAAATCATTAGTTCTTACACACCAACTAGTGGTGCTCATCAGATGATGAGCTTTCCTTCCCCTTCATAGAACTAGCTAGGAAATTCATCCAACTACCCCCAACTGCATCCAGTATGTTTGTCTAACTAGTCAATTCACCTCTGCAAAAGGAGTTCGATTTTCAGCTGGATGCGGAATTTTGCTATCGAAATGGGCCCATTTTAATCGGTTATCTGTCGAACTGTCTTCACTTATTTGTGTCCTCATCTCCTCAATGGATTCAAGGCTAGGGACTGACACAATTCTTTTGTGAGATGTTGAACTTGCATGCTTGTCAACCTGTTCATAAACAACAAAACAAACTTTAAACTTGTGGATAATTCAAAACATAATAACTATTAACAATAACAACGAATCTGCAAAAACTCAACAAAAGTAAGATATGTATACCAGGTAATCTTTAACAAGGGATTTTTCAGCTTGGCTATGGATATCTGATATATTTCCACCATGCCTATCTTGTAATGAATTAAGCTGTTTCAACCACTGAGCAGTCATAGAATCAATTTCCTTCTTATTCTCATGGTCCAGCATCAGTGCACCTGGAAGTATTACAAATTTGTTCAACTCAGTCATATATGTGAAAGGGAGAAAAAAGAAGGTAAATAAGATGGAAAGGAGTTGAAAATGTAAGAAATTCAAATTACCATTCACATTTTCCAGAAGGTTACGCGTTCCTGCACCATAATCTGAATCCATAGATAATGATGCAGCCACAAAATTTTGATCCAGAGCATGGTTTGTCGAGATGTTTTTCCTGTTAATAATATTAAAACATGTTTAACCCTAGATTCTATCTCAATAAGAAAAATCTAAAACACTAAGCATAAACTTACTTCACTGTAGATTCTATCTCTGCAAGATTATTCTTGTGAAAATTGTTGAAGGACAAGTGAGCACTTTCCCACTGCTTCCTGGAACAGTTCACTGTATTTGAACTGCATACCATATACAAAATTATTGAAGCTTGTCTTTGAGATAAGCAGAGTCGAATCAAAATTTAATAATTTTACAAATAGGAATATTAGTATTTTGCTGTCAATGCTAAAATGGAAAAATGACAATATTTTTCTGTCTCTTTACTATCACCACACAAAAATCAAAACGAAAAACTCACCAATCCCGGAGACAATCCTCCATTGTAGCTTGAAAGTTGTTTACTGATATTATTTGTTTCACAAATTGGCTATTTGCGTTCTCTACGTATTCATTAACTTCCTTGGTAGCATCTTTAGAAACTTGCTGCATGTTCAACATCTCTAACTGCAATCTCTTAGACTGTTGCACATTTGCATCCTGCATATTTCTTGACGCCTCTGAGACCTAAATCATATTTTCCGGAAGTCAGTAATACTATACTACTTACTACATAATATAAAAAGCACAGAACAGCTACAAGAAAACGAAGCAAAAGGATGATGCAGTCTACAGACCATAACAGTTCTCTTAGATGTCAAGTTTGACAAAATTGCTGAAATTTTCTCTAAGGCCTCTTCCTCATCTCTCGCAGCCTCTTCCTGTTTCAGATTGAAGGAAGAGAATCAAGCATAAAACACGAGTTTGACCTTTTAGGATCAAGGTTTAAGTAACAGTGTTTTCTTACCCTGAACTTCATCTCAAAATTAGTCAATTGGTGGGACCTCTCATTTTGAGTTTCTTCAACAATTTTCATTACTCTTGAAGAGTGCATATTAATGTCATTGAAGAATTTTACTGTTGCCTCTGAAACTGTGTGCGCCAGAATTGTACTTTGTTGTAATCCCTACAATGATAAATTAAATTTATAGTTGCACTTTATTAAACTGTTGCTCTAGTACTTTTACACAAATGCAGAACAAACTCAAGCAAAGGTAAAAAAATGGAACATGCCTCCTCTTGTTGTTTAACGGAGAATGCTACTAGCTGTTTTTGTTCATCAAGAGAATCATGGATGTTATCGATCACATCATTAGCTTCAAGAACCGCGGTGGCAAGAAACTGTAAAGGGGGACTAGATAGGTGAGCATGGAAGTAATAACAATTATGTACCAAATATTTTTAGCATTCTTTGAAAAACCAATGCCTGCAATCAAGTTTGAAACTATAACAAGAAAAGAAATTAATATTCTTCAGTAACTCAATTACATTCTCAACAGCCAATGTCTGTGATGAAACTTTATTTTGAATCTGTTCCATATCAGAAGAAGCCTTTGTATGCAATGTATTTGCTAGCTCCTTCAGGGTTCCTACTCCTGAAGTATAAATTTCTGTCATATTCTTGATCCTTGATTCCAGGGCTTGTGCAGCCTGAAAAAGGAATATCAGGAAAAAAATCAAATGATGAATGATCAGGACATGGAAAACAGAGTTCTGAAGTGAGATCCTGTTCAGTTTTCTTACATCACTTTTACTGGCAAGATGAGAGGAAACGTGATCTTCCATGCATTTAAGTTGTTTCTGTTGTTGAGAAACAGATCCTATAATGGTCGCATGCAAATCTTTTAAGCTCCCATTTAAGAGGGATGAGAAATTCAAGATTATTTTTTGGTTTTCTGCCTCCATTCTTTCTTTGTGATCTGCAAGAAGAAACTACTTTTAAGATATCCTGGTCGAAGTAATGCAATAATATCTTGCCAAATAGTTCTTTTAACAAACATATAAAATGACAGCGAGTTAAGATATGCTCAAAGCTCAATTTTCACATCCCATGAAACATTTTTTCTAAAGAAGGGGCAAACAAAATTAGGAACAAAGAAATCATTGTCTCAAAATCAAGAGATAAATAATCATACCCAACGTTGAGGACAGTAAATTAATATCATCTAATGCATTTTGAAGATCTGTAGACATTTCCTTTGCACGCTCAATCAAGGAGTTTTCTGTTCGCAAGCAAGATAAAGCAAATAAAATATAGTGAGAATTGAACAAAAACAGAATAAGTCTTTGTAGCATATCATCAATTGATTTACCTGATTTCAGTAGCTTGGAAATGGTGCACTCTTTCTCCTTCAACTTTGAAACAACTAGCTTGTAATTCTCTTGAAGATCATGCAAGTCGTTGCTAGTTTTTTCCAAATTCACCTAAAGATAATTTAATTTGATAAGATACGATCTTAATCAATAAATTATGGAGGAAATAAATAGCCATTCTACGCACCTTGCAATCCTTAAGCTGGTTTTCTAAATCCAGTTTCTGTTCCTGCTCTGTCAAATAGAGCTCCCGGAATTTGTCCACTTGCTGCAAATTAATAGGAAGAAACATTTATCAATGAAGTTCCTATACACAATAGGAAGAAATCTCAACCAAAGACTTGGGGAATACTTTCTGACTAAGGTTGAGGTCATTCTCTAATTGCTCTATCTTCTCATTCCTTTCCTGCAAGAAGGGTTGATATAAAGCAAATGAAGCTAGGGAAATTGAAATAAGTATTAAGTACAAAGAAAGATAGAACATGCATCTAAAAATGGAACTTTCTTATGAAACTACATTATAAACATTCCCATCAAGAAAAGATAGCAATCCATTGAGAAGTAGTTGAGAAGTATTCGAGTAGAGGTTTTTTTTATCCTCGGACGTGTCACGATCCTTGTAAAATTTCCAAATAGTTATGATATGTAGATATGCAGATATTAATAAAAAATAAAGGACCTTCTTTTCAGCTTCTTCCATGGCAAATCTTTCATGGGAAATATATACACCATTCTTTTCCCTTGCTGCTCGAACATCTGCAATCAATATTCACATGAACAAATATATGATACAACGATCTTCCTTTCGTTCCTATACATCAAATAATGGCGAGTGTACTGTACCTTCTTTCATTCTCTCAATCTCAATGTACAAGTCCTTCAACAAAACAGCCTTTGAAACTTTTTGGTTTGCCTATTAGAAAAACATCAGCTTTATCTCAGCATAAAGAAAAAACTTCTTTTATAAGATTATCTAAGGGGTTATAGCAGTGGTAACTGACCTCGGGCTTATTCTTTATGCTTTTTGCTCTACTAGCATAATCTAGGGTACTTAGTGTTTCTTCCAAGCAATAAGCAGATGGGCTAATAGTAGCAATTATGCACGTTTTAGTTTTCCCTCCTAAGGAGTCTCGCAAAATCCTTGTAAGCTTACTGTCTCTGAAATAACAAACAGCCAAGTAGCATGCATATTACAGTAAATGTTTTAATAATAACTAATAATAATTGAAAACCGTGTTAATATAAACCTGTAAGGCACATGGGCAGAATGTTCTACAAGGGCATTTATCACACGCCCAAGGGTGAGTAAGCTCTTGTTTATCTCCCCTGCTTCTCTAGCACGGCCCTGTAGTCATATATTGTTGCAAACTTAATGTAAGATCAACCGGAACCATTTAATTCACATATAGTCGAGACAAACAAAGAACCAAAATCAGGAGAAAACCAAGTTATGTCACTTTCTAACATCACGTTGTCCTGAATTAACATCAGGCATACAACTTATAAATAAGAGGAAAGAAAACATTAGAAAGACTTGCAAAAACTGAATTTTTTAGATAATAATTTCTAGTACAGTTTAATACTGGTTCCGAAACTTAACTTTCTCCGGTAACTTGATAAACATCTATGAGCATAAACTTTTCATTATGTGAATCACAGTAAGCTTGTTTTAGTTGAAAATCTCCTATAAGACAAAAGTTAATCCAAATTGGGCCTGAGTATGTAAAGATGACTCTTACTTCTTAGGATAGTTAACCATAACTTTTTCTAGAGAAATTACCTGACACAAATAATTATCAAAAGTAGTAAATCATAAATTTTTCTTTTACCTCACGTGCTCCAGAACGCAATATATTTTCTGATCCAGCCAAATCAACAAGATTAAGCTTGCCACACTTAATCAACTCCTCGTCTCCAATCACAGTTTCTTTCACATAGACAGTAATGGTGAACACTGAATGAGAACGGCTGCACCAACATACATTCATATAAATAGCTTCAACTAACATAAATTTCAACAACAAAATTAAAACGCAACTAAGCTACCTGCTTCTCTTGTTAAGCAATGTCTCTGCAGTGCGCCTCTTTGATGCTCCTCGCTCCAACAGAGTATAAATTTCATTCACACTATATACTGACTCTTCTTCAAGGCCTCTTAACATCACGCAACCTTTTCCATCTTCCATAAGGGCTACAGGTTTCTTGATTCTTTCTTCTATAGGCCTAGGAGAATTGTCTTCTGGGGACAATAGATCAGTTATTTCTTCATTATAAAGCTCAAGGAATGTGACTTTCATGCTGTAGTCAGCATTCTGTGCTTCCAAAATATCAAAAATTTGACGAACTGCCCTCGGAATAACACCAGCCTCAGCGGTTAAATCACCACCCTACATATAAATAACAACATTATAAAGATCAGAAAGAAAAAAATCAGTGATATAACATCATACAAACTTTGGAAGGGAATGTACCTTATTTCTCATCCCGCCCTCCATTGTATAAGTTTTACCCGTACCAGTCTGTCCATAAGCAAAGACGGTGCAGTTGAAACCATCAAGAACTTCGTTGACAATTGGGGAAATGGCTTGGTCGTATATCGACCTCTGTTGTGCTTTAGGTCCAAAAACCTAACCAATAAAATAAAAAGAAAATATTCTTAAATCAAATACTATATTATATGGTAACTAGTAGGTAGATAATAGAAATAGAGGTTTAAGCAAGAATACCTTGTCGAAATTGAAAACTCGATCTACCTGCTTGTTAGCTATATTCTGCATTACAATCACTTCCCTTTTGTTTTCATTACATGACACAACTTTAGGAACATTACTCTTTTGTTCTTCATCACTTAATGGCCTAAAAATTAGAAAATTAGAAAATTATAAACAATCTCAAACCAGGTTACACAACTACACAAGCTCGAACCAAGTTACACAATTACAGTAGAAAATGGACCTGCATCGAAGCAAAACTTGCACATTAGTTTCTCTATCCTTATCCTGACGGTGAGAGCTCCGATCAGAGCCTTTCGAATCCGGTCGTCGTCGCTCAGGTCTCGGTGTCAGAAATGGAGTTGGAGATGCTGCCATCATCCCTAATCCAACTTTCTTAGACTGATCTGGCGTCATTGACATGATTTTCAACCTACTGAAAAACCCTAATTAGCTTCTAACTGAAAAACAAAAACAAAAACAAAAACAAAAACAATAATCACTATCGTACTCTGTATTGTATTGTAAGAAATATACTTGATCCTGATCGGAGAATTTGAGAAAAGGTGGTGGAAAGAGTTTTTTTTTTTTTTTTTTTGGGAGGGGAATTTAAATTTGAAAAGGGGAAGATTGAAAGGGTTGTGTTGCTTTATGAAACGGCTACTCGTTGAGACTTTTTTATTATACTATAAGTTTACTCTCTTCATTCAGCTCCTGAACTTAATATTCAAACTTTGGTGTTTTTTAAGTTATATCTACATCACAAGGTTTTATGAAAATAATAAAAATGGAATTATAATTAATGTAGGTTTGATTTTAGAAGAGGTAAGAATAGATCTAGAAGTGTAAAATTGGTTATGACATCTTTGTTCATTATAAATGTTATTATTTATCTAAAATCAATTATATTTAAAGTTAGGATTAATGGTTTTTTATTTTAAATTAAATATTTTTTTTTAATTAATTTATTTATTATTCAAATCATTTTTGTATTTATCTAAACATAAATTATTTTATATTTAATTTATTTATAATCAAAGACAATTTTATAAAATTCACTCACTTAAAATCAATTTTTGTTAGTGTGACACTTAAATAATATTACCCTCGTCAAGTGTTTGAGGTATTCGACCCAATAACAAAACACATTGAACTATTAGTTAAGTTAGAGAAAAAGTCTTTGTAATCAATTATAAAATGATCAATATTAGTGAGAGAAAGTTAGTATTTTAAGTGATCTATCACGGTTGATGCATTCTATTATGACATTGCTAAACTTTAAGTCCCTTGCAATTTGAAGAGGCAACCACTGCCCTAATTCATTTATCCCCATTGACTCAATCATATGTCAAGTTTTACTCGTAGTAGCTAGTGCGACTTCACCTTTGTGATTCTTGATAACCAACCCCCAATTCATTTTGTGGATCTTTGTGTTTGCGGGTATTATTAAGATGATCCAAGAAGGTGAAGTTTATGGAAAGCAAAGTTGCAAGTCAACTAAGTAGTCGTTGTTGAGTTTTGATGATGGCAACATTTAATATCAAACGGTATCCAATAAAGTCAAGTATTTGCTGAAGATAACTCAAACGGTCAAATATGCACAAGATATTTGATCAAGCTATCCTCCCGAGTCAAGCTATGCTCTTAAAGATCAAGACATTTATTCAAAGTCAATACTATGGTCAAATGACTTTCAATTGAAGACTTATGTTTAAAGGGTCACTGATGGTTTAACCTCTCAAACTCTCAGATGATGGTAATCAACATGAATTATCTCAAGCCTCGTCAAGAAGACTCACGGTTCTTGTGTGATACTATTTTCGAAGATAATGATGCCAATACTTTAAAATTAAGTGTTGTGAAAGAGAGGAAGTTTGAAAGCTCGCGTGATTCTGTTCATTTGAATGATTTGTGTCTTGTAAAGTTTTTACTTTTCTGTGTGACCAGTGTTCTTGTATGTGTTTTTACTATGCACCATTAGTATCATCATTTATGGCTTCATCAAGATACTTGCCGCTAGAAGATCTTCTTCAAGAAGATTGTTCTTAGAAGGATCATCCTCGAGAAGTCAAGAAAGGAAACAAACGTTCGATCGCAAGGTCTTATAACCCATTATTATGGAAGAAACTTTTCTCAATGATTTTAAACCATATGAAAACACATGTCGGGCTTTTCTAAGGGAATTCTTCACCAAGGTACCTGATCGAGTGTTTTTGCATCTTGTGAAAGAGTACTACTCAAACCTAAAATTTGAATATATATCTCTTAAGACTTTGTAAAAGAAATAGAAATTGATATTCATAGATATTTGTTCAGAAGAATGTTTGAACTATCCTTCTATGGATTATTGTATACCTATGGTGGGCCAATAAAGTTCAAAAGATTCAAACTCTATATTGTTATCCTTTCTTTAGTCATGAATCTTAAGGAAGAAAAGAAGTTTCATATCAAAGCAATCTACTCGAAGGCTAAAATTCACGTGGCACACTATTTGATTACATGTATACTCCTCCCGAGAAAAGATAACCTTGATGTCATTATTAGAGATGATGTGGTCCCTTTGTGGTTACTAACCCAACAATTTCGAACAAATTGGGTCGACGACGTGTTTCTCTATGTGATCTACTACAAGCAAAATCGACCACCAGGATTACCATATTGAACTTTGATCACCAAGATATTAGCTACTACTGGAGTCGAATCTATTAGGGGAATCAATGATCCAATTCACTCTAAGTTTAACAATTCCTCTCTCAACAGCATGGGGGTTCATGTCTTCCAAGGATAGTTGAGTAAAAAAACCAATGTATAAAGTCGAAGATGTAATCCATCTAGCTACAGAAAGTGATACAATTATCAACACCTTTCTAGAAATCTCTCAACTAAACTTTCTAACCATTCCGAACTTGGTGAGCAACACGGCTATTTCCAAGAGAAACACATCAAGAAAAGCTATAATCATATAGGATTATACTAATGACAATTAGTAGTCTCACTTATGTGCCTTTATCTTTTAAGTGTCTTTAAATTTCAGCATTTTCCTACCTTCTAGAATCTTTATAATTCCTATCACTTTCCCTTTCAATATTAGAATTCTAGTATTTGAATTAAATAATGTTTTCCCTTCTTTAGTAAAACATGTTTGATCTATGTAAATTATGTGCTTGGATATTTACAATCACATTATAGCATTTTTTCCCGCCCTTTTTGTTATTCCAAAGGGGAATAAGTATAATCTTAAAGGGAGTAAAGTATTCTTTCTACTCATGTGAGGGGGATTTTAACCATTCAAAAATTCATCTATCTTTTTTATATTTACCATCTCCCTGAGAGATGTGTTGTCATCATCAAAAAAGGAGAGAATGTGGATCTATGTGCTTGTAGGTATTATTAAGATAATCTAAGATATAAAGCATTCTAATACGATTAAGAATAAGAAAAGTGACATGGAGTCTCCTTGTCTTATCCCACAAACCATCTTAAACTCCTTAGTGGGACTGCCATTTACTAGTATTGAAATTAATGTTGACATTAAGCATTCTAAGATCCACCTCTGCTACTTCTTGTGAAAGCCCATTTTCTCCAGCACGAAGATTAGAAAATTCCAGTCCAATGAATCGTAAGCTATCTTGAAATCCACCTTAAAAGCATTACATCTTTCTTCTTTCTCCTAGACCCATCCACGATTCCATTTGCCACTAGCACCCAGTCAAGAATCTGCCTACTTGTAATGAATGAAAATTGAGTACTGATTTCAACTTATTGGTAAACCTTTAGATATTACTTTATATATACACCTTATTAGTGATATTGGCTGAAATTTTGAGATCCTTGACGAGTTATTTTTCTTTGGGATGAAACCAAGAAAGAACAATGTGCACCTTTAAACATCCTACCTTTTGTGTGGAATTGTGACACCACTCTCATAAAATTACCTTTTATGCTCTCCAAAACTCTTTTATAAACCCTAAGTTTAATTTATCCGGGTCTGGGCTTTTTTAATTGTCTCATTTATGGATCCTTGTTTTACAGGTGATATTCTTTTGAGAAGGACATCAACTTTTGATAGATGTAATACGGTGGGAGAACTGACTTGGGTATTTTGCGTTTTATCATAATTGTTGCGGATAGAAAGAGTCGCCACCGACTTTTCTTTTATCCAATAAAGGAAAGGGTGAAAAGAACAGGAAAGACCTTTTGAGAATTTTCTTGAGTTCGGGGGGTAGGTTATGAAAAGGGAAGATATTAGCACCCTTTTCATTCGTAGTTATCTACGGGCTCTTAGTTGCTAGCTCACTTTGAAATGCTTTTTGTGAATGTGTTTGTTTGAAATTATTTTTGAAAAGTTCCATAGTTGGGAAAACTTTGTAATGATTCTCGTCTCTATAAGAATATATACAAAGTGTTGACTTTTTGAAAATATTTTATTGAAAGTGTTGGTGTTTGAAAGATGTTTTGAAATGTTTTATGAGCAAGCAACTACGAACGTTCTACCTACTCAAAAGAAGTTTTTGTTCTTTTCCTCCTCCTTTAAATATTTCTATCTTACCATTGATTGGTAAGAAGTCATATCATTGGATGTGAAGGGATAGGCGCAGGTCATCATACAGTCATAGAAGACAACTTGTAAGACGCTTTAGCAATTTTCGTAGAGACTAAGATCGTTTACCAAAGGTAACATCAAAGGTTCATCAAGGGACTATGATCTTTTTAATCGAGGGTCTTTGCTAAAGCGTCCAACATTCGAGGGACATGAATGTGTTTTTTCAAAGGCAACAACTGAGGTCACCCTAGAGGTGCGTGTGTGCAAAGTATTTTGATTTCAGTTAATTTATATTGGATTTAGGGTTATCTATCATTTGATTTTAGATCTTATTATACACGCCTAATTATTATACAATAATAAAAAAATAGTAAATTGCAGAAATTAAAGTTCTACGCTATTACAAAACTTTCGGGAATGGGGATACAAATTTATGAATGGGGATGAAGTAAAAGCCTAATTAAACTATTACAAACCGTAAATAGTTACAATAATCGAAAGAGTGCGAAAATAGTAAATTACATAAAAAGAAAAGGAGAAATTATTTTGCGATTTTATCAAATAAGGAAATTAAATAAAAAGCTAAAAAAAGTTCAAAATTCAAAATTCTAGATAATATTTTTGGTATTTTGTTTGTGAGAAAATTCGAAAAGAAAATAAAGACCTATTCTATTATTTTTTTAGAATTTTCATCAGGTAAAAACTAAATAATTTAAAAGAAAGTTAATTAAACAATAAAATGTTAATTAATAAAATTATTCTCAAAGTCCTAAATTAAACTAATTAAAAAATAAAAATAACTAGTTTAGAAACTATATTTTTATTTAATTGAATTTTAAAATCTAAACTAAAGATTAAGAAAATTATTGAAACAAGATAA